TTGTTGAGGACGTTGCTGCAGATGATGTAGTGGTCGAAATAGTTGTTATCTTATCAGTGGTCGTTGTATTTGGAGCGACAGTGGTTGTCTCTCCAACTATGGTCGTTGTTAATAGAGCAGTGGTTGTCGTGTTGACAGCAATGGTTGTATGGACAGGTGTTGTTACTTTAGTAGATGTTGAGACATAGCTGCAGATGATGGTAATTGGAAAGGTTAGAGTTGTTGTCTGAGCAGCTGTGGTAGTTGTGTGGTCAAGGTCTTGTTGTCTGTATAAATGAAGTTGTTGTTGGAGTAGACGACATAGTTGCAGATGATGCGGAATTCGGTGCTTTTGCTGGCAAATGTGGTTGTATTTGGAGTGACGGTGGTTGTCTGTTAATGCAGCAGTGGTTGTTGTGTTGGTCAGTGATTGTGTTGACAGGTGTTGGCTGTTATAGCTGCAGATGATGTAGTGGCTGGAATAGCAGTTGTTATCTTATCAGTGGTTGTATTTGGAGCGACAGTGGTTGTCTCTCCAACTGTGGATGTTGTTAATAGAGCAGTGGTTGTTGTGTTGACAGCAGTGGTTGTGTGGACAGGTGTTTTTACTTTACTAGATGTTGAGGACGTAGTTACAGATTGAATGGCTGTTGTTGTAATTCGAGACGAAGAATGCATAGCTTCAGGCGTTATGGTTTTGTGCGAAGCTGTGGTTAGTTCAACACCTGTTGTGTGGATGGCTGTCGTAATTCCAGATTCAGAATGTGTAGCTTCTGGATAAGTGGTTTTGCGGGAAGCTGTGCTTAGTTTAGCATCATGTACTGTTGTATGGATGGCTGTTGTGGTCATTCCAGATGCAGTATGTATAGGTGGAGCTGATGTGGTATTGTGGGAGGCTGTGGTTAGTTTAGCATCATGTCCTGTAGTGTGGATGGCTGTTGTTGGAAATTCAGTTGCAGAATGCATACATGCAGCTGTTGTGGTTTTGTGGGATCCTGTGGTTATTTTAGCATCATGTCCTGTTGTGTGAATGGTTGTTGTGGTAATTTCAGGTGCAGAATGCATAGCTTCTGCAGATGTGGTTTTGTGGGAAGCTGTGGTTAGTTTAGCATCATGTCCTGTAGTGTGGATGGCTGTTGTGGTAATTCCAGATGCAGAATGCATAACAGTTGGAGCAGCTACAACAGACTTCAGTTGCAATGCAGATCTTTTAGTTGCATTTGAAGTGGTATTGTGGGGTGCTTTAATAGTTAAAGCAGCCTTTGTTGATGAGTAGGATCCTGTTGATGTTGTAGCAACTCTAGTTGTGTGGGATCCCATCAAAGTTGAAATTGCTTGAGTTGAGTGGGATGCAGTGGTTGTTTTTGCATCTTGTCCTGTTGTGTGGATGCCTGTTGTGGTAAATCCAGATACAGAATGCATAGCTCCAGCTGAAGTAGTATTGTGGGAAGCTGCAATGGTTGTAGCAGCTATTGTTGTTATGTGGGATCCCGTTATAATAGGAGCTGTGCTAGCTGTATCGGATGCTGTGATTTTAATAGCATTAGTGGTTGTTGTATGAATAGCTTCTGGTGTTGCTTCAGTTGATAATGATGTAGCTGCAACTTGTCCTTTTGTGTGGAAAGCTGTAGATATTTTAGCATCATGTCCTGTTGTGTGGGTGAATCCTGTTAGTGACATTGCAAGTGTGGTTGTTTTCGATGTTACAGCAGCTATGGATGTTGTGTGGAAAACTGTTGTTTTTTGGACAGTTGTGTTGAAAACTGTTGTTGTGTTGAAAACTGTTGTTGTTTCAGTCATACTTGCAGTCGTTGTTTTGGGGAAGATGGGTGTTATTGTGGAAGCAGCTGTGGTAACTGTGTGGTCAACGGTGGGTGTTGTCTGTATGAGTGTTGTTGCAGCTCGTGTTGATGATGACATAGCAGCAGCTGAAGTTGTTTTTGGAGTGACCGTGATTGTATCGCCAACTGTGGCTGTTACAGCAGCTGTGTTTGTTGTGTTGTCAGTCGTAGTTGTGTGGACAGGTATTGTTTTCTTAGCATATGTTGAGGACAGAACTGCAGATGATGTTGTAGTGGGAAAAATTGTAGTTTTTATCGGAGCAGCTGTCTGTGATTTTGGAGTGAAAGTGCTTGTGTCTGTGGTTATTGTAATTCCAGCTGTCTTTGTTGTGTGGTCAGGTGTAGATGATGTAGTTGATTTATTTGCTGCATGTGATGTTTTAGTGGGGAAAATTGTGGTTGGTTTGAGAGCAGCTGTGGTTGTTAGATTTTCTTTGGTTGATGTGTGGACAAGTGCTGTTTTAGTAGCAGATGATGAAGTAGCCGCAGATGTTGTTGTGGGGAAAACTGCTTTAAATGTTGAGCCAAAAGTGCTTGGTTTAAAAGCAACAATGGTTGTCTCACCAGTTGTGGTTGTTGCAACAGCTGGGTTTTTTGTATGGACACCTCTGGATATGGCATGGAAACTTCTGCTTGTTGCCAATGTTGATGATGTATCTGTTGATGTTGTAGTGGGGTTGTTTTTTGGGAAAGTTGTGGTTGTTTTGGGAGCAGCTGTTGATTTGAAGAAAAAAAAAGATTTTTGTGAGTGATTGTCTTTAGGGGCAGGGCAATTGTTAGCCATTGCCATTACTTAACGATTACCTAAATTAACCTCACCTGGTAGAATTATTTTTTTTATTTAACCTTTATTTCTTTATTTAACCAGGTAGGCCGATTGAGAACAATTTCTCATTTGCAACGGCGACCTGGGATTTGAACCCAGGACGTCATAAACACAAAGTATGCACTCTACCACTGAGCTACCAACTGCTCCTACAGAGTAGAATAGAAAGGATAAATACCAAAGGAATTTAATTTATTTTGTATCAACGTTAACATTTCATAGAATTACTAATAGATACTACAGTTTCGACCAATTGATCAGCCACAAAGATACATTTCCTCATTCCTTTTTTAGTCTGGAAGTGCCAATCAGGGCATAACAACAGCGATGCCTCTAGTCATCTAGGCATTTTGGGTTTTAGTTGTTCTCAGTTAGAGGAAGCTGCTCTGAGATTTGTTTCCCAACTTTTAGCGTGGTTCATTGTTTATGCTACCAGCAAATAAGGTCATGGTTGCTACCTCACCTCTTTTGCCTTTCAACTGTAACAAACCTTTTGGAGGTATTGAATTTGTTTATGTCCTGTCTTGTATAGTGTTCTTTTTTATATAGTTTATATAAGTTTAAATAAAGTTTAAATATAAGTTTACGAACTATTAATGTACTTAATTAGATAGTGTGAAAACAAGTTCCCTATTGTGCAAGAGCCTAAATAAGATATTGTAAAATGCATGGGTATTTGCTACTGTTAAGGAAATGGACTTATGGAGAATGCACTAGTTTGGCATTTTAAGCATTTGAAAAGGTAGTAAGAATATGGAAGTGAATTGTTGAAAAGTTTGCTGATGGAAAAAAGCTATTGAAGACAAAGTGTGCTGAAATGATGTTGGAAGTGATTAAGGTAAGACTGTTTAACACTAGAAACGCCGGAAGTGGGTCATTTGACCCAGAGGCACGTAAAAAATATTTTTGCAGCACTATTAACTTACAGAAATATCCTTTTAGTAATGTTCCTAGATATGCACGCTTTATCCCCAAGTATTGCACTCTTACTCTTTGTATTACGGTAACAGGTGATTTGTTTTGTGTATTAAGTGGAATACGTCTTTAAGACGTAGTAACGTAGTCTTAAGACTGTACTGTAGCTGAAGATCTGTCTGTGAGCACGTTTGAGTTGTAAGTTCCGAATGATTCTGAAAATAAAGATACGAGAGAAGATTAACTCTAGACGTTTTTGTTTATTTTCAATTCACGCATTTACCGTTGAGCGCAACATAAGTTCAACAGCTATTTTGCCGAAGTTATGTGCCAAGTGGCTATCCGCCATTTTCCTTGTATTTTTTCACCAGTATATCTTGTTGTCTGTCACCAGGTGGCGCTTCAAACACCGAAACCAAGTCGCATTTTCCGCAAGTGAATTTCATGTAACGTGATATTATACAAACACTATGATTATTTTAAATTAAACCAAATAAATGTTTACTTATTGTAGACAATTCTGAGTTAACATAAATGACATGACATAAATATAATCCTATTGCTTTTGTATAACGAGGAGGTACCAGGGAAGTTCTGAACAACAAACTTATGTAGGCTATGTTTCACTGCCAACCATATTTCACTTTTCAAAGATGATTTTCAAATAATAATGGCCTACTGAAACAGTAGGCAATTAATAATAGTTGATACATAAACAATATTAGGCATTGTAAAGTATATATAATACATTTTGTGTGTAAGAGCCATAACTTACGACTATTATAGACGGCAAATTAATATTGTTCACCGAAATGTAACGTGATATTATCACACTGATTATTTAAATTAAACCAAATTAATTTAGACATATTGCATACTATAATTATGAGGTAAATGCGCAATTTCCTGACATGAATATCGCCCTGTCGCTTCGCCATCGAAGCATCAAGGTAAATCAATAATAATTAATTTTCATATGAATTTGAACTGCTCTATGTGTTTATTCAAGTTATATTCGGTTATAATGCATTATTTAATTGCATTGATAACATTAAACTAATTTGATATCGATGTAGCCGAAGCAACGTCCTACTGTTGAAATACGGAAACCTATCATGGACACATTATTTTCATTTCTTGAAAAGTTACGAACTGACCACGACCTCCACCACATTGTCAAAGTTGGTATATTGTCTTATGTTCAACTATGTTTGTGTCATTATATTCATTATTTGCTAAAATAAAGTTATATCGGAGTTCCAACAAGGCATTTCGTGTTGAATGAGAGTTGTTCGTTTTGCTCATCATTGATTTGAATGGGTATTGCATTCTTATTACCAACTTTTAGTTCGCATATTTTAAGTATATAGTAGCTGGATGGTATATAATCTCATTTTAGACAATAGTCAAATGTACTACGTCAACTGACTATTAAGGAAACCAGGACAGCGGTAATGTTGCAATATGTATATAGCATACAGCCAATCATCCGCAAATCATTTGATTGCATACGTCACTTGTTGATGGCTGCTGCTGTGGAGAAGAATGTGGTGATCATTGGGATGCTTTGAATGCTAATGAAGCCGGTGGGTGTGCTTCAGAGTATGAAGTAGACTCAATTTCACACCCAGACTCTGAATGTGTCTGCTTTTGTCATCAAAACGCACATCGCGCGCATGATGTCTCATATTGTATGTGACTCTTTTAACATGTTGTGTGATGATATGGTACTATAAAAGTTTTTTCCCCTCAGTTTTTTCTCCATGTGTCTCTCTGTTCTATTTCCACGTTAGTTGAACAGTGTTTTATTGTTTATTGTTGTATTTTTTATTCTTCTTTTGCCACCGATTCACTTTCCTTTCCCACCCGACATGAAAAAATGAACGACAGGGCAAACAGTGATTAAAGTTCGATTGTAAGGCCATTGAAAATTGTTTCCCTCAAAAGTATAATACGCTCATAGCTGCATTTAGGTTTGCTTGAACGTAATATATGATTAAGACAATCTAAATGCAATAGGCTATTAACTTACAGCCAACGTAAATTCAGTGTACATATATTACATCCAAGTCGTTATGCAACATAATCGCGGTTCTAACAATAGTTCCCAGGAAATTAGATTTCATTAGTAGATCTATCTCACTTTTCCAGAAAATACATGCATGTAGACCTTTGGCACATATCAACTGTGGTTAAAACAATACAAAAAACCTAGAGCGCTGCGTTTTGCCACTGTAAATTGCTACGAAAACCCATATGAAGAGCGCAGGATATTGCCATTGAATTAATTTGATATAATACGTTCAAGCCAACGTAAATGGCTGGTAGAGGCGCATTCATGTAAATCACTTATTTTAGCCCAGATAACACTAACACTATATGAAGCCATTATCCCACATAGTCTAGTCTGTGAGCGTTTTCATTCATGTGACGCATTTATTTACATATGGTGAAATACATATGTAAATACATTTGCTTTAAACCAACAACAAACGTGGAAATATTACAGAAAACAGCACAACACAGTTTTGTAATAATTCTATACAGCTTTATAACATATACCAAACAAAGACACGGTCTAAAAGTATTTATCATCCCCCTTTCTTGAAGAACATTCTGGTCAATGGCTGGCCAGTTCCATTGTTTACTTCTATCCCGCATTCACATGTAAAGACACTGCCCCCACATGTAAGATATGGGAGTCAAGCGGAATAGCCGACCTTGGGCCAATACAATCTTTTCTAAAAAAACGTGTTTCATTGTCTACATTGCCTTATGACTTTATATGACATCTTGTTATTATTTTTTTATTATTGTTTATTATTGCGTTGAGAAGCACAATGAAGTGGTAATTTTTGTTTACATGTCTTACACACAGAGAAAAAACAACACAACACAAAGACATGGTATGATGATGCGAAAGTTTCACTGGAAGCACACTAATTATATTAAATTAAACCCAAGTAGCCTATAAAAACACTGTTGTTTCGGCTAAGGGGGTATAGGGATAGTAATATACAAAATTTGGTTCATGAAATATTCGTTTCATTTCGATACAAAACAATACTTTGTTGAAGACTCTTGTTAATATTTATTTCTCCGGTCCAGAGTCGGCTATTCTGCTGGTACCCGAAAGATGAACGAATCGGTTTATATTTATTTCTCCGGTCCACAGTCGGCAATTCTGCTGGTACCCGGGAGATAAACGAATCGGTTTATATTTATTTCTCTGGCCCACAGTCGGCACACAGCTTTAGGGGTTTGTTTTGAGCAGGACATGCAAACTAAATGGTTGCACCAGGACAACTGCACACAGTGTTAAATTCTGCCAGTTTCAAAATAATAGGATATTTTTGACTATGTGTGTACCACATGAATTAAATAGTTAAGCCTGAATGCATTGAGCACAATAAATCAGACAGTTGAAATTAACAGTGGCACAACAAATAATCTTTTAGAAATTATTTCGCAATTAATTTGGTTTAATTTAAAATAATTAAAGTGGTAATAAAAAGCCTAATCTATGTGCACTTATTAAATAATAGTGGACACTTTTAGGCCATCTATACTCATTTGCAAGGAGGCTTTAATATTTTGGTTTCACTTCATTCGCCACCTTGATTTTACAACAGCCAGGTCCTTCTGATGCAAAGATGAACAAGATGCGCTAAACTAGGGGTGGTAAAGTTAACGCTTTAATCTGAGCCATTCATTTCAAATGTTTAATCCATTAAAATAATTTAACGCAATTAACGCACCACTTTATAAACTTCGGTTTCGGTTTGCAAAGCTGAATTAAAATACCATAGAAGCAGTTAGCCTTTAGTTTATCTTATAAAAGCAAAACACCTAGGGCCTCATTTATCAACGGTGCGTACACACAAAAGAATGCGTACGCCGCTCTCTACGCAATAGTTGGGATTTATCAAAAGCAAACTTGACGTGAAAATGTGCGGTCCTCCACGCAAGCTCTGACCCATGCGTACGCACAGAAACGGGTGAAATGAGAAATGGCGACATCGTCGGCAGATGGATGAAATACACGAAACTGTGTTAAAATGTAGACCGTTGTGTAAAATAAATGGAAATATCTCCTGTCATTAATAATATTAAGAATTCACGAAGCCATTCTTACAATTAACAGCCTACACAAACACCTGTTTGATCGATCTGCCAAAACAAATCAATATATATATAAAACAACATATATATATATATAAAACAACATATAA